AATGTATATATGTGTGTGTAAATATTTTTAATTTGTAAATATCCTCATCTTGATTATTATTATTAGTAGTAGTATTAATATTGTTAGTAGTATTAGTATTAGTAGTAGTATTATTAATGTATAATAATAATAATAATATATTGCTGTAATATTTTGATATTAACTTAATTTTTTATAATTTCTCTGATTATTTGCTTTTTCTTTACTTAAATGTATTATTTGTTGCTTATTTTATTTACATTTTCTGTGCAGTACTCTTTACACAGAGCTGGTTTCTTGAATATACAGTACACTATGGCATCAAAATGATAGTCAGATAGACAGATAGATAGATAGATAGATAGATAGATAGATAGATAGATAGATAGATAGATAGATAGATAGATAGAGTATTTTAAGACTATCTATCTATTTTATTTTTATTTTTGGGGGGTGTTTTTTATGAAATGGAATATCTTGTTACTGATTATGAACATGCTATAATAATAATAATAATAATATGTTGCTGTAACATTACAATAAATGTTAACTTAAAATTGCTCAATCAAATTAGTAATATTATTAGCATTATAGTAATAAATTGCTATAATATTAAAAAAATATTGTTATATTATTGGGATTTGATAAATAATTTAATTTTAATATGAAATAAAATATATTGATAATGATGATTATGAACATGCTGTAATAACAACAACAACAATAATAATTATTATATTGCTGTAATATTACAATAAATGTTAACTTAAAATTGCTCAATCTCTGATTAATTTTTTGCTTATTTTTTATCCTAATTTTTGGGGCAGTTGTAGTCCTCACTCAGTACTGGTTGTAGAATGGGGCATATGTCACCCAGCACCAGTAATGACACTGGATATCTGCTCTCACTCTCTCATTCTCACTGCTCTCCACAGGCCATGAAAGTGCTGTCCAAGAAACGACTGATGAGGCAGGCTGGGTTCCCGCGTAAGTGTCTGCTTTAAAGCAGATGGAGCGCTCAGCGGGGTTTATGATTGAGTGTATGTGTGTATGAAGTTGGGGGCGCAGTTTCATCAGCTAGCAGAATGCCCAAAACTTCAACCTTTTACATGATTTCCTCTTGTGCTGGTTTAATCAGGCAGACCTCCTCCTCGTGGGGCAAAATTGGCCCCTGAGGGCCCCCCTCAGCCCAAAGGGCCTCTGGAGCGTGTTTACCAGGAGATAGCCATCCTTAAGAAGCTTGATCACCCTAACGTGGTTAAGCTTGTGGAGGTGGGTGCTTGTATTATCAATATGCAGCCAAAAGTGTAGTTTGTGCACCGCTAGTGCCACCAAGTGGAATAAAAAAAATTACTATTTTCAAACAGGTTTCCTATCATCTGGAAAAAGAAAGTCCACCTTTAAATCTATTAAACTGGGATAGGGAAAATTGCACACCACATAATAAATTTAACATATTAGGGTTATAATTAGAGTTTCTTAAATGTTGTACACTTCAAAAAATATAAATAATTAAATGTGTATTTTGTGCACCACCAATTAGAATAAAAAAATTATGACTATTTTCAAACAGGTTTCCCCAAACACTTCCACCATTTAAACAGAAAGTCCACCTATACATTTATTAAACTGGGAGGGGGAACGTATTTTAACCTTGAAAAAATTACAAGCATCATTTTAAATTTGACATGAATAAAAATAAGGCAGTGGGGAATAGAAATACAGTTTCTTAAATACTGTACACTGCAAAAATAAATAAATAAAGTGTTATTAGTATTTTTACTTTTATTTTCCAGTGAAAATGTACTATAGCATAAAGATAAATTTATTTTTAAGCTAAATTGCATGAAATATTCAAATAAAAAATAGTATTAATTAATTCAATTATATTTTTAAGCATAAATCTAACAATATGTAGTGTGGTTAATGCTTAAAACAAAACCAAAAAAAAGTATACCAGAAAAAAAGTTGGTTTTAGGATGTCTACAAATATTTTTACTGGAAAATAAGATAAATACTGATTACGAAAATAATTATTTGTAGTGTACTGATATGTACTGGGCAGTTAGTATTTAGCCAATAAAAACACTGAAAGAAAGCTTTTCCCTAAAAAGTTAAAAAAACTGTTAGATGTTGATGCATGTTAATGTTAATGCCGTTTGTCATATTGAATGGACTGAATTTCTATCCGTCAAACCCGTTTTCATTTACATCAAATCAGATATGGCATAATATAAGGTGTATGCTGACTGGTTTCATTCCCGTTCTAAACCGCTTTGGTTTTTTTGTGCAGGTGCTGGATGATCCAAGTGAAGACCATTTATACATGGGTAAGTCTGGCCAGATACTCATCCTCTTGGCAGATGTTACACACTTGCACATGCACTATTTATTCTACTTTTCTGTGCTAAATGTATGTGAAAACAGAAAAGGTAATGCACAACAGCCTAACTCTGTTTCCTGTGTGCTTTCACAGTTTTCGAGCTTGTCAAACGAGGGTGAGTAAGCATGTTATTTCTGATTGTAGTGCCGGCCCATGCTGTGCTAGTGTCACTCTGCTAGAGAAACTGTGTCTCATTCCCCATGTGTTTGCAGAGCGGTGATGGAGGTTCCTACTGATAAGCCCCTGGATGAGGACCAGGCACGCTTCTACTTCCAGGACTTGCTGA